ATTGGAAAAGACCCTGATGCTGGGAAAGATTGAGGGCAGGAGGAGAAGGGGATGACAGAGGATGAGATGGTTGGATGGCATCACCAACTCAATGGACATGGGTTTGGGTGGACTCTGGGAGTTGGTGATGGACAGGGAGGCCTGGCGTGCTGCGGTTCGTGGGGTTGCAAAGAGTTGGATACGACTGAGTGAGTGAACAGAACTGAACTGACCCTGCTGACTGTGTTTTCATGCCCTTTCTCTTCAGAGTTGCCTGAGGCTCCATCAATTGAGGAGGAAGTGGAAGAAACCGAGTCTTGGGCAAAGCCTCTGGTTCATCTTTGGCAGACAAAGTCCCCAAACTTTGTGGCCGAGCAAGAGTATAATACAGCCATGGGCAGAATGGAGCCACACTGCGCCATCTGTGCTCTGCTTATGCCCTACTACAAGGTAGCTGGCGGGAGGGGCCCCTGCCCACGTTTCCTTTCACTGCAGCACTTTCTGTTTGACTGTAAAAACACAGGTGAATCATTGTACTGTTAGTATGCACATGGTGAAGAAGACATTAGTTCTTCTGTAGCTAATGACCATCATAGAGCAGCAAACAGAATTCCTGCGTGCCACTTGAGAGACTTTTCTTTAACAGTGCTTTATCATTTTTTAAGGTCTTAATTTATTTCAGTCAGCAGTTAATTCCAACCTTTCTACCCACTTCACCAAGAAACACAGACCTTAAAGTTCAAAATAGTAGAACCTTGCAAAGAGAGAACTTAGACCTAGTCTCTGCTTTATGTTTGAAAATATTGCTCTCAGTCATATAAATGTCAGTTCTGGGACCACATTTGAAATACCTCTCTTCATTTTTCCATGTAGAACATGCAAAAGACAGAGCAGGACTCAGTGCAAACCAAATTGTCCAGTTCATCCTCATCAACCAGCTATTCATGGTAATATTTTCAGATGTCATGTCATATATGTTATGCCAAAAGCATCTTAGATCACAGAGGGCCACATTCTTCAGCACTAACACAAACAAAACAATCTTTAGGAATCTTGTAAGGGTAGAACTACTAGGTCCATTTTAAGATACAATTTATTATAAAGTGCACTGATCTGAATATTGTGTTCTGGGTTATATTTTCACTAATAGAATCAGAAATATTTTATTCAAGATCACATTGTTCTTAAAGTTCCACATGAAGTGATTCTGTTCAGACATTTCAGAGCATAAAAATGTGTAATGTGCCACATTCTCAGAACTTTGTAAACAGGAAGTAGTTCATTCATTCATCTTTGAATGTGACATTAGGGAGTGATTAACTATTTTTATTTCCAATTTATCATTAAATTTCTATGTTTTCTTGAAAAATTTGCCTTTGTTTTGATTCTTATTTCTGTATCATAATCTGCCTGCATATTTCCCTAATGATTAAAAAAATTCCAACTAAAATTATAAGATTTGGGGAAATTTATTAACACAAGGTCTCTGGGGATAAGATAGTTCATTAAATATATTCAAACAAACACTTAATATCTTATATTTTGATGAGAGATGACAATTTTGTTTGCATATTATGCCTTGTTATCTAATGTCATTTGCTAGATATTTCTGTCTTGCTGTTTTAAAACTTGTGTGATGAGACAAAAGCCTTCAAAAACTCTAAATACTGTCATACAAATTAAAACTGAGGTCTTTGAAGTTTCTCCTTAAGGTGTAACCAGGTAAGATTCTTCAGTAAATGAAATCAGATCTATTAACCTAGTGCAAATAAAGAAGCAAAAAAAGTTGATCAGAAAGGTCATTGCTTCTCATGAACTTTGTCTATTAAGAATGTAATTTTAGTAGCTCATCCCTTTCTATGACAGTGGACATACAGAATCTCCTCTTTAGCTTCTGGATGGAAACCTGGAGGGCAGAGCTGGTAGTTGGAGGACAAGAACAAAAAAGAAACAATACAGAAGTGGAAAACTAGTAAATGAAATACCTGTTCGTGGATCTGTCCAAAGCAAGCGATCTGAGCTCTTTTCCATGTTTTTTGCTCATTTGCAAATATTGTGTTTTTCAGCCAGATAGCAGCAATGAAGAAAATGATTCTAGATGGGAGACAAAATTAGATGAAGTGGTGACTTCAGGAGGAAAGACTAAGCCCCTCATTCCAGAGATGTGTTTTATTTATAGTGAAGAAAATATAGAATATTCTCCACCTAATGCCCTCCTTGAAGAGGATGGAACAAGCCTTCTGATTTCCTGTGCAAAGTGCCGCGTACGGGTTCATGCAAGTAAATGAGTCTATCAGTCCTTAATCACTGGCTTTTTAGTGCTTCACATAGTCTTTATTTCTCACCCTTCTGCAGCCTATCAAATCTATCACAGTAAACTGTTGGCATCATTAATGATTAGATCATTATTTCTAGTATTTCTTGTAATGAAAGTAAGAAAGGTGTAATTGTTCTTTCTTGTGTTTTATGTGGTATCAGTGGAGAACAGGTCTGATGGTTTGTTTGGGGTCCCCATGTGGAGTTATCATGGGATTCCTTTCACATGCTTGAATTTTACTTAAGATATAGCTTATAAAACCTTAATTTTAGTCTCCTATGTTGATTCATCACTATTTTCCTTTGTAAGTTTTTAAAAAGAATGAGTATTCTTTTGGTGATTTGGGGAATTGTTGTTAAATTAATTACTAGTTAAAATTTTATTCTTTGTAAGAGTAGGAAGATCTTCATTGTCTTCCGGGGACAACAGTCCTTCAGGTTGTTTTCCCCCAGGACTGAGATGGTTAGGCTCTATACCTGTCTCAATTTGCTATTTTTACCTAATTGCATTAGTGGCAAATACATTTTTATAGCTAATCTGTCATCTAAACCCTCTAAAATGTATAAAATGGATCTGTTATACACTACAGTTGTATTTTAAAGCATTTTAATATTCAAGCTCTTACCAAGTCACATGTTTTATTAACATTCTTATGTATGGTGTGAGTCTGTCAATGTGGTATGAATGATTTATAATATATGTATCATCTTCTGTATTTACCCCATAGTAATACCAGTCTTATATTAAGGTTGAAATTGCCTGGCTACCAAGCATTTATTTATTAGATACTTTCACCTTCCTCAAGGGATTTGAACATGTGTTTGAAATATAATTACATAAAATTTATTTATTTCATCAATCTGTAAGATACTCAATACACACACACACACACACACACTCACTCTACATGGTTATATGTATATAAGAGGCACAGCATCATTTTACAAACAAGTTAGGATTTAATCTTGACTCCAGAATGCACTAACTGTGCAACCTAGCCATAATATTTTATGAACATGTGCTTGAACTAAACATTTTATGATCTTGGTTAACTACTACAGGCTTTTCTTTGGGTAATTACATTTCTGTTATTTTCCCTTCCTAAGTCAAATTTTATAGAAATTTGATATTAAAAATTACTTCTTTAAATTCTACTCATTTAAATCTTTCAAAGCCCTCTTTTTGCAGGAAGCCAGAGTAACACATGTTTGTTGGAACTATATAATTGCTACATATATCATGTATTTACATCATCAGCCATCTCTTTAAATTGTTGAGTCAGTCATGTACTGAATAGACCAGTAAAATTGAACATATCTCTTTATCACCGACCATGAATTGTGTATTCTTTGTCCATATCACTGAAATTAAAGCTAATTAAATGTAATTCTTGAAGTGTAATTTTAAATTACATTAATTTTATGCATATAATTTTATGCTCAGAAATATTATGTCAAAGTTTATTTACTGTACCATTTTAAAACTTCTCCAAACTTTGCTTCACGAATTGCAGCTTACTTTGAAATATGTTTTATATGAGTAACAGACTAGACCTGCAAGTGTATAAATTTCATTTTTTCCCATTCAAGTATTATCATTAGTATTCTTTATGATAACTAGTGTGAGCACTGGTAACTGTTAAGATGCATACTCTCATGCTTCCTAGCAGTGATATCCTGTTAGGTATAAGGTGTGAGAACCAGAAGTGTCTCTGAGCCAGCCTTGTTTATGTTTTGTTCTAAGCAGAGAGAATAAAAAATGGTATGGTAAGCTGTTGCTCTGATTTTACTTATTCAGTGCTGAAGTGTGTCATATTGTCAAAATACAAAAGGCTTAATTAATGGATCCATACTATTATTTTGTAGGTTGTTATGGAATCCCTTCTCATGAGATCTGTGATGGATGGCTATGTGCCCGGTGCAAAAGAAATGCATGGACAGCAGTAAGTGGCTTATTCATTCCATCCATTGTGGGTCCATTTAAATCTAGTGGCACATGTACTTTTGTGTGCAGTTCCACACTTCCCTGTTTTTCTAGTCTTCTCTTTCCAAATCATCCTACTGAGTATCTCTGTATCCACTGCAGAAATGTTAAATACATTTCTAGGCATCATCCCCTGCTCAGGAACCTACAGAGACTAGCAGTTTATTAGAGCATGTCCAAAATACTGCTTCACGTTCTTTCCCAGCTTGGTTTTGCAGTTCTAGGAAATAAGTATTCTGAGTGACAGTGAAGATGGGAATCTCTGGGACCTCTGAGGAAACCATGATCATTCACAACTATTCCAGTAGCATGAGCTCTTCCCTGTTTATTCATTTATACATTCATACTTGAGCAAATTTTAAAGTGTTTGTGCTAAGCATTGCTGTTAATTTGAGACAGAAACTACAACAACAAATTATTCCCCATTTGGGAAACACAGATTTCTCTTCACCTAAACTGTTTTCCCTGAAGACACTATAGAAACTTTAGCTTACACTCAAGTGTTGCACTCCATTCCATTCATCTACCAATTCACTCATTTTACAGTTATGATTATGTGTTGCATTAATTTTTCTTAAAAAAATTCTCTTTCAAAAGGTATCAGAACATTGTTGAAGGTGGAGACCAGTCAGATCTCAAGACTGTATCCCTCATTCTTGATCTCAGAACAGATGCTCAGCTTCGTTTTGATTAAGTAGTAGCCTTTGCTTTATTCCTTAATGATCTCTAATGACAATGGATTAGATCTCTTTGCAGCCAAAGTTAAAACACTGAGGCACAATGTAAGGACCATGCTTTGCATGATGAAAATTTATGTCATGATTATATATGTTTAGCTCTCAGTGTGGAAATAGACATATGGTAACTATAAATTAAAGGCATCTGTAAGAATGACTTTCTGTATGATTTTATTGCTGGTATTCACTTTGGATAGTGAGGGGAAAGCAGGGAAAAATATGGACCATCTTTATAGTCCAAATAATCTTATCTATGTGATATTAGAGGTAATATCTCCAACTTAAGAATTCTTTCCATTAGTGGGCCCAGATAACATTTTGATACTTCATTTGGTTGATCATTACATTAACAAAAACTGTATAACTACACAGCATCTTTAGAACAGCCAGGAAATCCTGCTGTAATATATATATTCAGCTATTGTTTACCACACTGGTTCTACTCCTATTATATGAGCCAAAGCAAAGTCTTATATTATGAGTCAGTATTATTGATGATGTCCTCTCTTTCACCCTGAAGTGTAGATTTAGAATTTCAGTTCAGTTCAGTCGCTCAGTCGTGTCCGACTCTTTGCAACCCCATGAATCGCAGCACGCCAGGCCTCCCTGTCCATCACCAACTCCGGAGTTTACTCAAACTCATGCCCATCGAGTCGGTGATGCCATCCAGCCATCTCATCCTCTGTTGTCACCTTCTCCTGCCCCCAGTCCCTCCCAGCATCAGGGTCTTTTCCAATGAGTCAACTCTTCACATGAGGTGGCCAAGGTATTGGAGTTTCATCTCCAGCATCAATCCTTCCAATGAACACCCAGGACTTATCTCCTTCAGGATGGACTGGTTGGATCTCCTTGCAGTCCAAGGGACTCTCAACAGTCTCCTCCAATACCACAGTTCAAAAGCATCAATTCTTCGGCGCTCAGCTTTCTTCAGAGTCCAACTCTCACATCCATACCTGACCACTGGAAAAACCATAGCCTTGGCCAGATGGGCCTTTGTTGGCAAAGTAATGTCTTTGCTTTTTAATATGCTATCTATGTTGGTCATAACATTGCTGCCAAGGAGTAAGCATCTTTTATTTTCATG